TGCGAAATTTGTTTTAAAGCTTCATTCTTCTTAGTAATTATTTCACAAAACATATATTGACTGGAAATCTTCAAAAATATTATTAAAACTTACCACAGGAGAAAATATTCTAGCCTATGATAAATGTAATATACCTCAGGAAATATAATGAAAATTTAAAATAACACATAATTTTTATGTGAGTACTTTAATCTTATTTCATTTTATGACAGTTGAATATACTTACGATTAATAAGCTCTTAAGGATACAATTATAGACATGCTCACCTGAAAACGGTAGTTTGGAATAGCGATCCGAAGAAAATGAAACTGCAAATATAGTTTACATAAGTAAATAATATATTATCCATGCTATATAATTCTATCAAACAAGTGACCTGTTTACACATTGTTACTAGCGCATCAGGTTCCTCGTTGAATGTCATTCGCTGAATCGGCGAACGCTTCTTTCTGGCACATTTCCATAAAATTCCACCACACCGGGGCGGTGCAGTTACATTTGAAATTCAGGAAATCAAGTCAGAATTTTATGCTTTCTTTTTTATTTCTGTACTTGGGAGCAAACATTAATTGGCATTCGAATGAGAGAATGACAAAATTGTACATTTTTATGTTTGCAGCACTTGACTCAAATGCATAATAATATGAACATACTTTAGATGATTACAAATGATGTTTTCAAAGTTATAGGAAAATAGGGAAACAGAGACATTTATCTGGTGAAATTAAAAATAATTACTTTATTTTTGCTTCGATAGGCTATATTAAAATCTTAAAAAATTTTCTTAAACATTTATTTATGAACTTACTACTTGTTTATCGTCATGAAATGGATGTTAAATTAGCTAGGAAGGTATTAGAAAGATGCATAAAATGAAAATGAAAATAAAAGAAATAACATGCATGGGGTTAATGTATAAAAATATTGCTTATTTTCAGATGCGCGGGAAGATTAAAAAAAAATGAGATAATTTTAAACAAATTTTTAGATGAAAAATTGTTTCAATTGCAATCAACGGGATAAATGACACTCATTTTGTTTCAAATGATATTAAATCTGGCAGTCGTCGTCGTCTTTGCTTTATTCCAATCATCTAACCAGTTTTAAATAATATTTTTATAACGGCTATCTTTCCGTAATTACCAGCGCCCACTAGCGGCCGAGCGGTAAAGTCGCTGAACACTGGTAGTTCGGTTCGAGGTTCGAATCCCGCGAACGGGCTGGCTGCATGGGCGTTTTCGTGGTTTTCCCCATGTGTAACGTGTATACGAGCCAGTTTCCCTTAGAAAGTCCTCCACGAAGGCATCCCTCCCCTTAGGCAGATAGCCCTAGTGTGCTTTGCCATAATTAAATGCACCAACACCTCCGTAATTACCAAGTGCTTCATCTTCCTCCAGCATCTTGTAAAGTTTAGAATAGCCGGCTCAGTAAATAGCTGCCTGCTGCTAAGAAAAGATAGTAACCCAAAGTCGCAATGTGAAAAGGTTCTCAGAAGAGTTTGGCAATCATTTTCTCAATAAATTTTGATGCGTGCATTCTGGCATTGAGCTGGTAGAACAGACTTTCTCTGTTTATCACTGCTTTTAGCTCAAAGCAATTATGCTGCGTAGACTTGACAGGTGTCTGAAGAAAACATTAGGGACGAAAACTTCGCGGAGAAAATAACGCACTTCAAAAACGTGGTAATACAAAATATCGTATTAGAAAAGAAAGCAACGAGAAATCATCGCAGCTCTAGAACATAGTGGTGTAAACCATCGCCGTCGAAAGAAAAGTGGTTCAAAAACATCACAACAACGATATTTTAGAAGTGAGATGTTTTCTCCCACCATGTTTTGAATTATGACTTTAACTCATAGCGTTGTTTTCGGCGCGACGTTTTCGGCCGCGATGCACCCGTCGCTAGGTTTTCGCCTGTAACTACTTGACACGGCAAGATTTTTCCATTCAGCAGTTCAAATGGGAAAGTCTGGTGAGTACCAGACACAAAATTACCCTGTTCACTGGTGGGCTCGCATGGGTTTTGCTATCATATATTGCCTTTTGAATCTTTCGATGGTGACTGATGATGAAAGAGTTTCGTGATATTATATCATAGTTACTCTTCCTAACCAATCAATTTGCGATTCATAAATGCATCGGTTATGTGAAATGGCATTGGATGAGCAAATGATTTGCTGGTTGCAGTGAATTCGGGAAGAACCCACTTATTTCCATCTCTTTCCAAGTCGATGAGGTGTACAGGATGATTCAACAAATCAGCCAAAAATGTAAACGCAAGTAAAGGGGACCGAAATGAACAGATGTTTCAATGTAATATGTGTTTGGAAAAGGGGAACTGAGGCGTTAGTTTAAGGCATTATTGAGATTGGTAGGGAAAAACTATTTGCTGGTGAATATTTATTTACCGTGAGGTTTTGAGCCATAGTCATCAATTATATAAATCCAAAGCACCCTGCCGTGTCCTTTACCCAGGGGACTGTGGGTTTGGGCGAAAACGGAGAAGCTGTTCAGAGGATGTACAGAGAAACGATTCACGACTAGACAACTGCGAAATCGTCAAACGTTCAAGGTTACTAACCAAAAGCTATACAATAGTGTATCTTTCAAGACTTGCGTGAATTTGTTTTAGGGTTCACATTTTTACAAAGCGGATTTTCTTCCTCAGCTGCTGGAGTTTCTCCTCACATTTTAGTCTTACCATGGAAATTCATTCGCTTGTTCCGCTTCTAGAGGTTAGTAAAACTGATATCTTACTGCTAAATAAAATATGGACTAATATTTTCTATTAAAAGTATTCTCCGTTAATATTGCAATTCAGGTGTACAATGAAGTTTATCTGATTTGAAGCTCAAGCGCGCTCTGGCTAGAATTATGATTTCACTCAAAAAATTGAGAAGCACCTATCAGGACATCAGCTGAATTCAAGCCTTAATCTGAGTGAAAAATAGATACTAATAACACATCAAACTTGTTAAATTCATGACCTAGAAAATGATCATGGCAAAAGAAAACCTTCTTTGCTCTTATAAGCTATTAATTAACTAGTTTTCTTGCATTCTGTATTTTAGTTTTATCATAAATTTTATCATTTTAAAATAGTTTTTATTTTTCAGAGTACGATCGAAATCCAAATATCGGTTGAATCCTTTGAAAGCCTATTTGTTCTTCAGCTGATTTGATTTGATTCCAGATTCCAATCAGCAAATTATCTTCAGCTATGCTTCAAATTTCTAAAAACGGATGCTTCACGTAACATTACAGGTGAAATGCATTATCAGGCGGAATTCTCAAAGAAGTCCAGAGATAAAAATAGACAACTATATAATAAGTTTAATTAAACATTTTTAAACCCCATTAAACAAATTTAAATTTTAGTGTAAATTTCGAAGCAAATATCATCGCCTTTCCATATATATTAATCACTAAAACGTGATATAAATTGCCTTAATTCAGTGCTAAGCAACAAACACTTATTTCTTCCCACTTGAATGCTATGCTACGGAAACTAGGGAAAAATTGGTCATCCATCTAACGTTGCGGGAGAAAAGGAGAAATAAAGTTTTCCTTTAGACCTCGTGAAATATATTATTTCATTAATGATGCTGATACAGATAGTAGACAGAGGCAGAATTAGAGAAAACAACAATAGGCAAACCACTCTTTTTTGAATTTCCGATTCTAATAAATTCGATAAAGCAGTGCAGAACTGTATATTTATAGTAATTAATAAGGATATTATTATAAGAGTGAATTAAAAAATAATAATTCTTTTTATTCAGTTTCAAATTTATAGGCATGCATCGAATGTCCCGGGACGACTCCACTGCAAGAATCATAATTTCACGGGCAGTGTCAAGGCAGTTTAGCGATCTTCACTATGTCTATTACCAAAGCTTCTCGACTTGAGGAAGGCTACGGGCCAATGATCCTGTTGCTCGTTATCCTATGAAACGAATCAAGGACGTAAAATCCAAAAGGAAAATTAAAAGGACGTCACTAATTCAGTCTGCAAACTGTTTTAGACGCGGTAAGAACTCAGAATGCTCCTAAACTCTCGAACAGAGAGACTTGCCGCTAGCAAGATCCTCGCGTAATAAGCACAATCAACTCCAATAATTGTTTCTATGCCTTCATTGCTGTTATGTATTGTTAAAAGAGTGCTCATAGATTTGTACCGAATGTCTTTTACTTCTATATACGCAAGAAATACGTAATATTAACAAATGCAACCACATGGAATCGCGACATTAATGAAGCGCACGGCCATCAACCCAGACTTAAATAGCACTGCCAGATCAAGTGTTAACGTATTATGACGATATGTCATAATACGTTAACAGAACATGTTATAGAGTTTATTATTCCTATATTTCTGTAAGGATGAAGCTGGTACATTCGAAAAACTATGATGAGATTAAACTTCTAGTACCTTAAATCTTAGGGAAGGGCAAAAACTGTATTTGTAATATACTTTTTGTAATATAATATGATAAACATTTTTAATAAGAATTGCATGGATCGAAACATATATATTTTTAAGTTCTTTGGAACCCTTGTTGATAAGTTCATTAATAAAGAGGCAGTTCGATTTGATATCTAATAATGAAAAACGCTGTTCTCTGTTTTAATTCATTTATTTTTATAAATGTTAGCAAATTTTGTGACTATTACTTGGTAAATTCAGTACATTTGCATCTTTGATTGAAAATCAGTTTGTTTAAACATGCATTTAAACGCAAAACCAAAGAAAACTTATTTCAGTGTTTAAAAATAATTGCATGCGTGTTTCAGAGCACTGGAGAATAATTAATGGTAGTAAATGGCCCAATATATTGAACACTGGGAAATGAAGACACACGGGAATACTATTCTTGATACATAGTCTATGCTTTCGGGCGTGATTTTGTCCAAGCATTTTGAACAGAAGGAAAAGCTTTTAGGTTTTCTGTTTGCCCTTCCATTTCGCATTACACGCACATCCCTTGGATAAACCTGAAAAATAATGAAAGGAATAAGAAAAAGATTAAGTGATTCGACAATCAAATTATTTAATTTATGAACTAACTTTGATGAAATTATTAGGTACCTGTTATGGAAAAATTTATAATAAACATTCTTGCTAGTTAATTAATAAAATGCGATTATTAGGTTTTTTATATGGCATAAGTTAAAATATAAAAATTATTTTATTACTATATTTTATAAGTATTTGAAATGTTTCTCTTGAAAATTTTCAATATACCAGAACACAAATTAAGCCATTAAATATATCTTACACTAATGTTTGAGAAAATTGCAAAACCATGAAGGAATTATGAAAATTGAACTCAAGTTACAGGAATTGAAAGTAAGGTAAAACATGCGAAAGGTTAGAATTGTATAGCGATTGTACACTGCTCAAGAAAAAAAAAAAAAAAAAAAAAAAAGGGAGTGCTATATCTTCCGTTCTACTGGGCCGATTGACAAAATTCAAACTGCGTTCTTCATGTCTCGAAAGAGCGACTTGGGATATATATTAGATCTATATATAGCACTATTCTAACATAGGTATTTTGACACAAAATCGGACTTTCTCTGAAATAACATACCAATTGTTTTCCATATTTCGATTCTACGGCTCAAATTATGCCAGAATACCAAGTTTTGTAAAACTCGTACGAGTAGTTTTTAAAATATTAGCTCTCAAAATTTTAGCTCCTCAATGTTAATTGAATTTGGCAAATATTTATTAATATCTCTTTTTTTATTAAATTTTTTTGATTTTTTCTCTCACATTTCGAAATTTAGGTTCATTCCAAATAAAATTTACCCATTTTTTGTGTTTTATTTTTTAAATTTCTATTTTTAAATAATTTTTATAAATTTTTCGAAAGAAATTTTGAATTATAACCTATAAAATTTTTACCATCATCATAAAGTAGGTGTATTTTTAAGCATATCTGCAAAAAATTAGACTTTTTTATTCAAAATTTTCTAAGATATACACGAATTTACATATTTTCGCGTTTTGAAATTTGGCATCTTTTTTTTGAGCGATAATAACGCCAAATGTGGTCTATGGATTTTTGTTACACTGAATTGCCACAGCTATTTTTAACCTTAAATTTCAAGTCAAATTTTACGAAGAATTAATTATATGAAATTTTTTCCCACAATAAGGCGTAATAAATATTTATTAATACTATATGAAAATCTATTTTTTTAAATTATAGTGATATTATTCAAATTTTTAACATTTTTTTAAATTTCTCTCTTTCTTCCTTTTTTTAAAAATAAGAGTAATTTTTCTAAGAGTAAATTTTTACCTTCGGCGTTTTATCGTCTGCTACTTTACTTCGTTTAAATCGAATTGTCTAAAACTGAGAATTTTCTTTTAATGTTTATTTGAATTTTATGAAATATTTTATGACATTAACTGCATAATTTATTTCTAAACAAACTGTTGCTTTTGAAGTGGCTGAAAGAGCGGCAGATACTATCATCCATATTTTTAAAGCACAGTATATTTTTATAGAAACATAAGATTTAGAATAATCATTTATATAAGTCAAATTATGATATAAACATACAACCCTCTAGAGACTGAATTAGTGGAAGTTCAATGGTTATGTAGAAATGATCTGCAGCTACTTAATGGCTGGATAAGTCAGCAGCTTCTGTGGACAAGTAAGAATAATTATATAAACGACACACAACATTCTGGATTCAATTAATAAGGAGGATACGATGTTTATTAAATGAATTTAAGAAGTTTTAACACATAAAAAATCAACTCATTTTTTATCCTAAAATGTATTTTTGTGCATAGCGTATTTTCATTATATCCTTAAAATTCTAATTTAGAATGTAATTGTCAAGAACTGAATCCTAATCATCAGTAATATAATAAGTAATTATTACGGTTATTAATAAATCCTTCTTATAAATTAATTGCAAATATTTCAAAAAACTTTCTGTCTGAATGCAAATATTTTTCTATGCAAAATTTTTAATTTTATATTAATCAAGATTGCACACGATATTATTTATTTGCCACTTCAATTTTACCGTCAGTTCTAGTAGAAGTTACAAATCAATTATATTAATTAAGGATTGGATTGGATTATTTATTTATGGCAAAGCACACGAGGGCTATCTGCCTAAAGGGAGGGATGCCTTCGTGGAGGACTTTCTAAGGTAAAACTGGCTCGTATACACGTTACACATGGGGAAAACCACGAAAACGTCCCATGCAGCCAGCCCGTTCGCGGGATTCGAACTTCGACCGAACTACCAGTGCTCAGCGTCTTTACCGCTCGGCCGCTGGTGGACTATTTAATTAAGGAATGACCATCTAAATTTAGAAACAGCGTACCGTAATAGCAATTCAATTATTGGCGCCGTATCTTTCATGTTACTCATGTTACTTTCATGTTACATGTTACATGGCAAGCTACATGATTTTTAATGAGTATTCGGGTTTTGCTAGTAACTTCAATTGGAAATCGCGCTTAAACTAGGATTAGTTGGTTATTTGAACATAGAAAGGAACATGGGAGCTATTTGGTTAAGATGCTTTCATAGAGAACCTTTGTAAAGAGAACCTAGAAAACTACGAAAACCAACCATGCACCTTGGGTTAGACTTCGCAACAAACAATTAGTATTTTATTATTTTAACAATCTTCAAATGCTAGGCAACTGGTGAGGCTCCAATTAAATCTCCAATTTAATATTTTATTTGTAAATATTTAAAATATTGTTGTATACTTAGATACAAAAAGCAGAATTTAAGTTTTGTTAACTCGGTTAGTAAACTACCAAGCCGTAGTGCAAATGAATATTCAATTTCTTTTGCAATAATTGTATTCACTTAATATTCTTGGAATATGAGCTAAAGAAGGAACGTTCTCGGAAGATTAAAGAAGTGTTTTTAAATCCAGTGATATAAGGTTTGTCTTACAAGCTCAGGATCAAACGATTCTGCAATTGCCCGAGTAGTTGACTTGTAAATGGATGTGAATTAAGCAGATGACTTTTAATCTTTCGTTTTCAGTCAGACAAACGTATTCCAATGTTTTGTATTGCATGACAATGCATCTTTTTCATTATTCAATAACCAGTCGGAGAACCGCTTTGTGTTCCGAAAATAAGTATGTGTACTCAATCGTCCTGTTTTTCAAATTTGTCTTCTTGTGATTTTTTTTCTTTCCCAAAAACTAAAGTTGCCTCTCAAAGGAAAGTTTTTTGATAGTGAAGAGACAAAAGGAGTATGACATCTACTTTTAGAGGCATGTCAAAAACAGATCTCTACAAGCCTTCTCTTCCATTACATGTTGTGCAGTCAGACAAAAAGTTGCATCAGCGTAAATTCTATAATCTATTTTTATTACACTCTGATTACTTTACTAACATACAGTGAATATATACTAAATCTTTTACTTCAGCTTAAGTAATTCGGAATTTTTGACGGAATTGTTGTCGGAACTAGGACTTAGAAGATAAGTCAAATTAAATATTTCGATAACCCAATAAATTCAAGGTCGAAGTTTCAATATTTTATTTTCGGAGGGAGGGGAAATTTTTTCAGTTTTGGTTCATTATCCTAAGTATATTTGCTTCGATTCTTTATTTTCCATAAAAGCGAAAAATTTACGCTTGGTATACATATAACGCATAGCTTCAAATTAAAATTTAATAATTTACAAAGTGTTTATAATTAAAGTTCCACATTGAAACGGTCATAAAAGTGTAGTGAGAAATTCGTCCGTGTAAGTGAAAACCACGAATTAGCGATTAGAAAATGTGAGATCAGAAATCACTCGCACAAGTGCGTACAATCTGGAAATCGTTTTCTTACAGATCGTTAATTTGTAATTTTTGAAGCCTGAATTCGGCCCTAAAACATGAAGATACTGATTCAAAACTCTTTTAATCGATTTGGGCCAAAGAAATCCCTCATGTTATCTATCTAGTTCCATTGCATTCTCCTATTGCATTCGATTGCATAGCAGTCATTCCACACCGTTTAGTGTTGAATGACAGCTAGTTTCATAACTGAATCATTTTTCTCTGAAGAGCAGTCGACAGCTGGACCACTGTGTTTGCATCTCACTTAGAACTGCAGTAACGTGGCATTTTAGATACTACTATTTTTATGCAGGGCTGGGCTCCACCTCACGTGTGTCGCACAGTTACTTAGGCAACATTTCACGAATGAACGTCTTATAGGCCAACACTTCCCCGCTTCCCACCAGTCCTCAACCTTTGTGACTTTTAGCTATGGTGTTTTCTCAAAAGCACTGTTTATGTGATAATCTAAACAGTTTGGCAGAAATGAAAAATGTGATACACTGACATGTCCGTAACATTCCTCCTGATATGCTAAGAGCTGCTCTTGAGAATGCAGTAATAGGATTTAACTTGCTTTCGGAAAATGCTGGACGCTACATTAAACATGCTTTGTAACACGCTTCGGAAAATATTAAACACATTTTAAACAGATGTTTTCGTGTCTTATTTCATTTATCAACCTTGTATACAGCGCCATTTTTCCCCTGGTAACCTCCTTTACACGATTCCCAAGTTTGATAACATTTGGTACGGTAATTTTCCTTTTATGACCATTTCAAATTGGAACTTTAATTATAACCACCATGTAAATTAAACTTTAAAAATTTGACAGTTTGGTTCAAGTCCCAGCTTTAAAAAATATATATATATATAAATATAATCTTTTATATTAATCCTCTTAAAAAGAATGTTTTAAGAAGCTAATTTTTCTCTCGCGTTATAGATTGTATAAAAAATGATCTTTAACATGATTTAGATTGTTTCAACCGATATAAGAATCGGTTCACTCGGTGGTACAGAATAAACCCTGCTGGACTATTTTATTTCTTTGTCATTTAGCAAAATTCTTTTAATTAAAATATTATCCTTTGGACTTCGCTTTAAACTTTATTTATAGTTAAAATGACTAGAAAATGAAAAGCTGTCTTTCAGCTGAAACGC